CAGCAATCTTAACCAAAAAATGACATGAATGTGTTTTCATGTGTTGGTCTCTCATTCTTATAACTCACAAGTGGACATCTTGTGCTGCTGTGCAAGAATTAGTAGTTTGTGTTAGTAAGCCTTTCTTATTTACAGAAAATTAGAGCTTGATGAAAAAAAATCAACAAATAAAACCCCACAGCATTAGGACAGTGTATTTCAAATTCCAGTATTATTATTCCTAAAAACACAGCACTGTTGTGGTTGGAGGGCACTTCTGAAGATCCATTTCCCCTGCTCAAAGCAGGATCAATCCCAGCAGACCGCCCAGCACTGTGTCCAGTTGGGTTTTGAGTATCTCCAAGGACGGAGACTCTTGGGTCAATCTATTCCAGTGTTCAACCACCACCACAGCAAAAAGCCCACCACCTCCTTTAAATGTCTAAACAAACTTTCCTGTGTTTCAATTTGTGCCCACTGCCTCTTGTCCTGTTCCTGGGCACTGCAGAGAAGAGTCTGGCTCTCTCTTCTTACCCCCACATTAGGTACTCAATGCACACTGGTAAGATCTTCCCGAGCCTCCTCTTCTTTAGGTTGAACAGTTCCTCCTCTCTCAGCTTCTCCTCACATATGTCTGATGATGTAGACCCTTAATCACCATCGTGGCCCTTCACTGGATTTACACCAATATGTCAATTTTTCTCCAGTACTGGGGAGCCCAGAACTGGACACAGCAATCCAACTGTGTCTCACCAGTGCTGAGTAGAGGGGAAGGATCAGCTGCCTTGAGCTGCTGGTGAAGCTCTGTCTAATGCAACTGAGGATATCCAGCTATGAAGTCTGCATCCCTGGCTCTGAACTGTTTCTACAACAGCAGAAAAGACCCAGCATAAATTTGAGGGAGTGTTTAGCTAACGCTTGATGGTCACATCACCGAAGTATGACATCAAAAAGGTATATTAAATCCCAGAGATGAACAAGGTGGAAGAGGGAACCACGAGAGTCTTTAGTTAGAGAATGGAAGGGCCATTAATTTGGTACGGGTCTTGGCATTGGCTTGCCAAGAAATTCTATGTAGGATTCCAAGGGCTTCTCCACATAGAAGTTTGGTTTAAAAACACAGTACACTCACAAAGTGCATTTCCCCAGTTCATTCAAAAATGCTCATGTAGCTTCAATCATTCTTTTTGTCCCTTAATTTCAGCTTGAGTAATGCAGCAAAAGCATTTCCAACTGTGAAGACATGCTATTTACTGGAACTTCGTTACCCTTTGTGATTCTGACAACTAATCACAACCAACTGCTTCTATTTTGCAGTTTTCAGTGTTATAGTAGAAGGTTAAAATTTAATGCATTGACAAAGTCAAATCTCAATTATCTGGGATAACGGAGTGGAAAGAGCACATGAAAGTAAAAATGCAGATAAAACACCTTCAGATAAGATGTAGAATAGTGAGGATGTTAGAGAAAAAAGGAAGAAAAGTCAGTGCGCTGATCCCAGAAGAGGCATCAACACAAACTCGTTGTCCCAGGATTCCAGGCTTTAATGCTGTGAGTCCTCAAACAAGCTCTGGATGTAGAGCACAGACATGCACCTAATACGCTTCTGGCTGTGGCTGGTTCAGCCCTGCAGTCTAACTAGGCTGGATCTGTTCTTGTCCACTTGGCTCACTTCCTGATATGGTCCACAGCTTCCCAACTCCTGACCATCCATGTACCAGGCTATGCACTCCAAACTACACTCAGACAAGTTATCTTCCCCCATTTCTGGACAAAGCCAAGTGAAACATCAAGTAGTTGATGGTATCCAGTACTTTAAGAGCTGATCCATGGAGAGAATACAGGCACACATACATTCCACAAAGGCCTCTCAAATGCTGGTGTAATAAACCTACTGCTTTCAAACACTCCTCGAATCCCTCACAGCATTCCCCAGGATATAATACACACCTGTGGCTTCATGCTTCAGTTTTACAGATGGTATCATTGTCCTCCTCTTTTTTAGGCATTTTGAACTCAAAGATACGTTGAGTGGGATAACAATTACACCTTAGGACCACAAAAGCCCCACAGGGGTCCAGAGAATTGGTGGGCCAGGTGCTGTGCAGCACAGATGCCAGCAGCCTGCTCCAAGTGCTACCCCTGAGTAGCTCTAACAAGTGCCAACCCGCAGCCCAAGCCTGTGTGCAATGGGGGCATGGTACAGACCCACAAAATGGACGTTTAGATGAAGATCACATCCAAAGCATTACCGGCACAAGTAGCATTTGGTTTTCTGCAGCTGGCACTTCTGTCCCAAATCAGTATTGGGGACCCACCCCTACCAATCCTGCCACCCCAAATCAGTCATTACTGGGCACACAGGTGCCATCAGAGAGAAATGGGAATGTGAAATCAAGAGCAGGACTCTCTGTGGGTGTCAAATCCACAGGAGTGGATTTTTTTCCCCATTAATTTCAAGAGTTTTGATTCTGATTCTCAGTCCTTAAAATATTCCACAGGCATCAGGGATAACCTTTAAGCTTCAACCATATTCAGGTTGATGGAGTAATGAGTTCCCTATCTTTTCCATGAGGATATAGCAGTCTTCTCTTCCAGAGCTAAATCACTGTGAAGCACAGTTCAGAACCATTAAAGCACCACTCAGCTCAGTCCAGAGTTATCGGCACTGCAGCAGATTGATGGTTCTCCTATACATATTAAGTAATTTGGACTGGAAGCTGCGAGAGAAAAGCCAGATCTCATTTTATTTTGCATCTAAGATATATATCTGTGGCCTTTGCCTAAAGGTCTGTCACTCTAGCTGAAAGCCTGACAAAGGTCAAAATATTCAGCTTTCTACTTTAAATTCTAATGACAGATGAGAGATACATTTCTTAGCATAAATATTTATACATAAACATACTTTATATATGCATGTATACACACACCCATAATCTTAAAATATCTCAGCATATGTGTAAGTGTAACAAATACTGCCACAGAGTCACAAGTGAATGGAGTAGCATACTGTGAGTCTGCCCTGACCTAAGATCTGAATAGAAAAAGAAAACTATTTGAGATAATGGGGACTTGCAATTTTAGCAGTGTTCCTTCAGCACTAAAAGAAGCAAGTTAAGACTAATTGACAATGTAAGCTCCAAGAGTTCTCAAGATTGAGAAAACGGTAAACAAAAGCTAATCTATCAAATTTAGCAGGAGGCACATTATCACTGCAGAAAACCTGAAAAAACAGAATGATTTGTACCATTCTATAGCATTAATGATTATTTCACAGAAACCAGAGACTTAAAATATTCAGCTGCTACCTTCCCTTGCACCCAACGAAGGGCAGGCTTGTTGCGCTCCCCACCTGTGCCTGCTTTCTGCTTTGCTCACAGCACTTCCACATTTAGAGAGAACGAATCTGACAAATCAGAAACTGTGCATGACCCACATACTGACACCACAACAGCAACGCTGACAGTCTTAGGAGTCAAGGGAAGGCCAGAAGTAGTACCAGTTAACACCCTTCTGTCCTGTATACAGGTGGTCTCATGCAGCACTGTCAAAACCAGTGCAAAAACGTGTCTGAAGGGCAGCCTCAAAGGACCCAACGGTTTTACGTCATGCAAGCCTTGCTTTTACAGCCAGGGCCAGGCTGATCTTTACTCACCCCTTCTGAAGTAAGGGTAGAAGTCAAACTGCAAACAATTAGCCCATCAGACAAGCTGCCTCATGCTTTCAACCCTGGGAGCTGTATACTCATTGCACATAGCGTCTCTGCTTTAAACGTGGCCTTAAAAAAGGACTAAGAATTTAAATGCCTTAAAAAGATGCAGCTAAAAACCAAAAGGGAAATAAATCTCTATTCCACAGAAAGTCATCGATTAGGAAAAGAGAACTCAAGAAACTCCTAAATCTTACTATTTCATGAGCAATCATTTGATTTTAAAATTGCAACTTGCTCCTCTTAACCAGCTGAGATCCATGAATCAGAAATTCCTGGCACATGGGCAATTTTTAGTCAATAGGTGGTGGGAACTGGAGTTGAGAAGGGATTACATCCCCTTCCTTTTCCTTTTACAACCTTCCAGAAATCTCCCTTCTGAATTGCATCCCTCCTTTCTCCCACATCCCTTCGTGGGAGCCCCAGAGCATTCATGTTTAATTCTCTAACAGAAAAGCAAAATAAGGGGCTGCCTGATTAAACATTAAGGACCTTTTTCTCTCTTTATGGAAAATACCTTCAGTTTAATGGGAGCAAGTTAGTAACTGTTTATCTGAAGGTTATCCATTAATTGCTGGCCATGTCATAGGGAAGAAATTTTGTAGCATCTAGGGGGTTGAATCATGGTGCTATAAAGGCAAGTTAATTCTGTATAATATTAAATGCCTGGAATAACTGCTCCCTTTGATAAACCCCTCAAAAATTAAGAACTTGTGCACAGTCTGCCTGTCTCTGGGATGGCACAGGAAAACAGAAGAGGTCCCTCCATTTCACCTTATTTATAAAGAGCCTGATTCAAAACTTCTCTAGAAATATTCTCAGGAGTTTCAAAAAGAAAGTTTGTGTGTGATGCACGCAAACCAGACCAGGAGAAGGGAGCTATCCCAGTGGAGACTTAAATGTAGATTTATTACAGACAAAATTTCTTCCATCAAAATTTGTTCTCCTACACCACTGTATCGATTTCATTACTGAAGTGCTGCACTAATGAGGCAGGCTCTCCATGTCTATTGTGCTACTATAAAGGAACACATTTTGTTATATGGACCATAAAATGCAGCAGAGGAAAATAAATCTGTTTTGTTGTTGTACCGCTGCCCTGCTTTGGTGTCTGCATCAATGCAATAGCTCTTTAAATAACCCCTATAAACTGTTTTGTTTCCATTTATAAAAATACAATGATGTTCCCATGCAGTTATATTCAGAATCAGGTCTTTACCCTTAAAAGTCTGGGGACAGTGAGGGAATTAATTCAGGATTTCATAAACTGTAGGGCTTACAAAACCCATCTCTGCAGAGAGGTTTTACTCACATGGTGCATAGAACATGACAAGGGTGTGCTTCTTCTTCTTCAAGGACTCCCTGAAGTCTTCACCAGCAAGGTGGACAACACTAGTCTGTTTTTCTTCCCATGCAGGCTCAGGTGGAGGTGGTGCTTCGGGACTAGAAAAGAAAGACAATGAGATTGGTTTGAAAACGTTTCTAGAAGTGAGAAAAGGAGCAGCAGCATCCTGGTCATAACCACCATGAGGCAACCAAGGTAAAAAAATCCTTCAGGGTGCCTTTGCAGTAGAAAAGCATGCTCGGTATTTTCAACACCAGATACAGTAAAAAAGATGTAAGGTAATTTCTGGAACTCAATAAAAATATAATTCAAGTGACTGTACTCAGGTATGTGAGAAGAAATGCAGAATAAAGATTTCCTACGTTGCATCCAACAGCTGGGTGGAAAAAGCATTGCTCCTGTATCACTGTGTCACCCATAGGCACAAATTGAGAAGAACAGCAAGCAGGGGGAATCAAAAGGCAACCGATATAGAACAGCATCTTCCATTCAAACATCCTTTTTGTACTCTTTATCGCTATCATGCAAACTTCTATAAAGAATTTCATGACCTTCTCTTGAATACAGATATTAAAGCCAGGATGCAATAATCAGCATTGTTCCACTTGGAAGACTAGGGGTGACTGAACTGGAATATTTTACCTTGATAAAGAGAATGTCAGGTTTCAATTATGACTGCACATACTGGTTAGATCAGAGCAATCCTGCACACCTAGAGTGTCTCTAACAAAACTTCTGCTATTCACCAGCTCACAGACTTCTCTGAGACTCATTAAATTCACTCCTGCTGTATCTTAAATAGTGATTACTTATATAAAATCATCAGAATGGTGCCACGGTATAAAGACCTTCATATGTCGCCTTGGTAATAAATTAGTTTTTCAGACTTTTCTGTCACTTTGAATGACACCATTTTAAGTTATATCAGATACATAAAAACCAAGTAGAGAAAAACTCAATTTTTAAAGTCCTACTCAAGGTCACTTGGTGGACATCCATCCTATTTCCATCGATGCTGACTTTCCAGTTGTTAAAGAATCAGGATAGGTGGTCTGAATTTTCACACGAACTGTTGGTGTGAGCTACCACTGATTACAGTTACAGAGGTGTGACTTATTCTCACACAAACTTTTCCATGCTGACCTGAAATAAGCTACCCAGCTCCTGGTAACAACCTTGTATGGCAGCACAGTCACCAGAGCCAAAATGTCCATGGCTGCAACTGAACCACCCCCTGGAACAGTGGGACAAGCCGTACTTTTATCTCCAGCCTACACCCCAGATGCATCCCTATCCCCACCAGCTTCAGTGCAGCTGTGACAATTCTATCCCTGGTCAGAAAAAACAAGGATGTTATTCTAGTGCCTCTCTAGTTGGGAGAACATTTAGGAGTAAAGAGTAGGAGATAAGTTGTCTGGGCTTCACCTGTATTGCTGACTACCAGAGGCTGCAGACAAAAGTATTCCAGAGGAACAGCAGGATCCAGAAGTGATCAACACCCCTTCCCTCTTCCTTGCTGCTTAGTCACCTGCCAGTATATGCAGGCAGCATCAACCTCACTGTTTAACTCTATACAAATTCTGCAGAGCTCAAAACACTCAAACTGGTGAAACAAGGATAGGGACTTAACATCCAAAATGGATAGAGTTGCCTGGAGCCAGCATGTGCAGGGAGACCAAGGGAGTACTGTGCCTAAATGTAAAATACAGATAAAGCTTCTCAACATGCTACAAAGATGCTGCCAGACCGTATCTATTACGTGATTTGAAGCAGAGATGTAACATAAAAAGAAAAGAATAAAAAGTCAAACTCCAGACAAAGAAAACTCCACACAACCCACTCCTCACCAAATAAGAGGGGAAAAGTTAATATTACATTCCTCATGCCAACTGCATTCACAGTTAAATGATTAAAACACTTCACAAAACTCTAGCAGGTTTTTTTCTCCTCAAATAATGCAGAAAATACATTAGGCTTACAGTACCTAAAGAAAGTGAATATTTTTATATATATATATATGCATACTTTTACATATATGCATATATAATGCATACTTTAAGTGAGAATTGTACCAGCAATTTACTTTGAAATGAAACTATTGTCATCATTATCATATCAAACTTAATTCTGCACACTTCAGCACACCACCCAAGAAAAGCTGTTAGTGCAGTCAAAGGTCTGGTTTTGTGGTCTCACTGGCTTTCCTTCAGCCCTACATGGATGGAATTCTAGGCATTGGTCCTGAAATGCTGGAAAGACAAAAGTACGACTGTAGAAATTCAGTTACTAACAGGGAAATCTGCTGCTTTTTATAAAGAGAGAACAACAAATGTTCTATTTATTTTTCAGAGCCATTGTTATTCCTCCTCTGGTGAGAGGCTTAAGGTATATTTGAAAAATATTTTGGGAAAGAAATACTGGGACAATTATGAAAAAACCCACAGCAAAGAAAGGATGTGTTTTATTGGAGACCATAATTAACATACATGTGTCTGAATACTGGAGTTCAGTCTAGTTTTGTTAGCAAGGGGTTTAGGCAGTGGATGAAGCTAGGCTTAGCTCCTCACCAAAGCAGTCTGCAGGAGTCACTAATCAGGAACCCAAACACTATCTCAAACCCCTCAAAACTTACTTTTGCAGCCAGTCAATGATTTTCTTCTTTGTTCTGAGGTGTGGCAGAGTGTATTTCTCCTCTCCATCCTTAAAATACTTCAAGGTAGGAAACCCTGAGATGTGGAATCTTTCTGCCAGTGCCTTGTTGACCGTAGCATCAACTGCTGCAAGGACACCTGGGCTCTAAAACAGAGATCACTCACTGTAAATCCCAGCCACATACACACCCTCCTCTGGCAGGACACAGTGGGCTTGGGGGCAATCACTCATTGTTTAGGTGCCTTCGCTGTCTCAGGGACTCAGCACAGACAGACAGAAAGACACTGATGCAAAACCAGAAAGGGACATCCTATGGACTACATGTAACCAGAGAGCTACCTGTTTTCCTACCATTTCTGACAGGATTCTCTGTATATAATTCACTTTATAATGCTTAAGGGTTGTTCCCAGGAATGGCATTTCCTCCCACAATTCCAAATTTCTCCGAGAAGAAACAAGCACTGTTAAAGACAAGTTTACTTCAAGGCAAATCCAAGCTTTTCTAACTTGTGGGCATCTTTGCATGGACCACCTTTAAAGCCAAAGGAGAGCAGGCACTTGCATAGTGTGATTCATCGGATCTTCGTTTTTCTCATCTCCTCTTTCTCCAACAACTACAAAGGGACTCTGGATGTCTCCACTGAGGATACTTAAATGGGGGAGACTAATTCTATTTCTCCTCTTGCATGGCATACACAGCATGAGACTGAATCAATAACACCAATACTTGTACTATTGGATCTCTCTTCTCCAGCCACGCTGATGGAACACTTAAGATGAAACTAATGGAGTGACGCAACCATAAAAACGGGGTATTTGAAAGAGGGATCAACCCCTTTTGTTTTTTTCCAAACCTAATTCATAAATAAAAGCCTATGTTTCTTCACATTCAATGCCTTTAAGTAAGGGGGAAAAAATCCATTTTTGGATTTGATCATATTATGTATAAGGGCTACAGCAGAATACATAAACATTTTTCGATTTTGTTTTCGTTCAAGACAGAATGTTCTTTCTCAGACTTTGGCAGGGTTCATGCATTAGCGATGAGACTGTACTTTGGAAGCACATTTTGAAAGGTCCTGTGGGAGGATGAGAACAGCTGAATTTGTTGTAGGGAGAAAAGTCACTTTTATTACTCCAGTTATTTATTACTGATTATTTGAAGGATATAATAAAGGAAATTAGCTTACGTCACTGGCTACATGAAGAAACTCTGCAGCCTTCTCATATTCTGGCTTCATTTTCTTACAGTGTCCACACCCTGCCAAAAAAAATAAAAAAATCCAATTAAGTTGTACACACCGTGGTTATTCATTGACCCATCTAGCCATTATCAAAATCCAAAACCATGTGGTAGAGATTTACTAGAATTCTGTATGCATTTTACTTAATTGATTTGTAAAGCCTTAGTATGATTTAGGATCTTTTCCAAAATGGCCACAATACTTTAAACAAATAATTTAATCAATTAAAAATAATAATAAACCCCCTAATTTCACACCCACACCTCTCTCCTTACAGAAATTTGTCAAGCCCAGTGCATCTGGCATGCTCTTGGGTAAGGCACAACCTCACCCATTTCACTTTCCAAATCTTTATCTGCTTTAAAAAGAAACAACACAGCTCCTCACGTGACTTTGTGACTTTCAGCGGAGGCTTACACTACAACAGCTTAACAGAGCAATGCAATTTGAATTTAACTGCACTGATAATAAGCCCCATTTTACAGTGGTGCAGCATGTCCCTCTAGCAAGGACTTGCACTGATTTAATCACATCAGTGTAATTACACCACCACATATGTTCCCACCATAAGCAGGGCCTGTAAAACCGAGATAATGGCGCTTTCTCGCTTGTGCGAAGTTCTCCAGAGATCTGCCATTACTTCACTGCTAAGTGCTGACATCACAATAAAGTAAAATGAATGCATGGGTGAGAAAAGCAGACTTAAAATAAATTATTTGGGTGTAAATTAAACCGCTTTCAGCCGGTGCAGTTGCTTCCACTTCCAGGCAAGCTGAACTTTCAGGACCAGGTGGGGTTCCTGCCGGGCTGTGAAGCTGCGCTTCAGCACCTCCAGTACGACGCTGGGCCTTGGTGACAGCCCCTTCCCCACCCCCAGGGGCCAAGGGACCAGCACCACCAGAGCCCCTGCAGGGACAGTGCACGTGGACAGAGTGGGCAAGACGGACACCCAGGCAGGGTGAGGAGATGCTCCTCCTGCAGACAGAGATGCAGTGAGCTGTAACAAGGCGCCTGGCACGGCCCTGACACCGCACTTGCCTGCCCAGTGCACTGTAATCCCCATGCAATGCCTCGCTGCCCTTCTCCCTCTTGTTTGCAGCAGCCAGCCAGCTTGCTTTCCTTAGCTATTATTGTTGGAATGGGCACTTGAAAGCCCAGACTTTGCTGAGCTTTTGCAAGTTGTATCAGAAGATATGGCGAGAAATGCGTTTCAATGCGGCTCCAGCAAAAGCCGTCTCTGAGGTGTACGGGGAACAGGGCTGGGGCTATTTTTACACCACTGTCTAAAAGAAAATAAAGCAAGGACTCTGAGTCTCAGCGCTGCTTTGTTTCCCTCTAATGGGATGACTGCTGAAGCCAGGAGACACAAAGCTGATCCTCAACTCAACCAGACAAGCATGTTTTATGGAGCACAAGTTAAAGAGCCATGAAGTGGTAGGACATCTTGGTGCCACTTCACCAGAGCAAACAGGGACCTCGGCAGAGCACCAAACACCACACCATGAAGCACTTTCAGGGCATGTTTATAGAACAGGGTGTACATTTTAAGAAAAACTGCAAATCCCACCTGAGAATCACAGCAGATACCAAAGCAGCTGATCCCAAACCAAACTCCAGTTCAAACACCACCTACAGTCCATACTGCCTGGTCATCTGCACAGTGTCCACAGCATTAAAGAGCCCCACGTCATTCTTTTATGCAAAAAACAGTACTGCAGTAGGAGCAGCAGAGCAAGGGGATCTCAGCTGGAGGAGAAAGCTTTGCTTTAGTTTTACACAGTGGTGTGATCATGTGCCACCACAACAGGAACCTGATGCAACAGCTTCAGAGGTGAATTCAGGAAGAAACTGGAAAAGGCTGAGGAAAAGTTACTGTCTCAGCACTGCTTGTCTTGGTTAAGAGCACAAAAGAGGCTGGCAAAATGATTTATTTGCCACCCACAGAAAACTTGCAGGCATATGGCTTTGTGGAAGGGGCTGACAGATCCCTTTGACACCTGCCCAAGTTGATTTATTTCTCTTTTTAGGAACAGGGAACTTTATTTATTTTGTGCTCTTCCTCACTTGTAAACAAAAGGCATCTCAAGTGCCAGCTTGGATACCTGGGAACCTCTCTGAATTTAGCTTGCTCAAATATGTGCAAACAATACTTTTCTGCAGGGCTAACTTCACCTCGGAGGACTTTACACAGAGTGTCCTTCAGCCACAGCAAGGTTCATACTGTGCTCTAGCTATGGTATCCACACAATCTACACTATATTCCACAACCATTAATTAGATCTGATCAACCAAAGGCATTAAACAACCAGAGTTTTTCACAAAGCTCTGCAGAGGGGAAAAAACCCAAAACAACAACCCAGGGGTACTTGTCTAGGGAATAAAAAAAAAAAAAATCCAAAGCATCTGAAATTCATGTAAGTAATATTTAGGATAAAGAGATCCAGACTGTGAAATGCCACTGTTCCGGGTTCTTTCATGAACATCACACAGACACAGCACTACTGACTGCCACAAAGCTAACTCACTCATGCTTAAAATAAAGGGGAAGCAGTATCAGGTCTTTAAAAGCACTTAAATGCAAACTGAAGTCTTCAAATCTTTATTGTGTAATGCTTGTTCTACCCCTGACAGAGGACAGCACGATATATCAGCCTGGAAAAACAGGCATCAAATTAAACTGAACCTGAAAGAGGGACAACAAATCTTAAGAGCTTCTCCCACAATAAACAATGCTTCCCTGGCCATCTTTATGACAATTTTGCTATTGTGTGCTACAGCCTGCTTCCACCTACCACTGCAGAAAGGGAGAGATACAAATCAGAAGTCAAACCTAGAAACTGGAAATCAGTTAATCTCTTTTATGATTATTTATCCTATCTTTGAATAATCCTCTGAGGATTGCCATTAAATTTTCAAGGCCAATGAAAAAGTTATTTAAATGAATTCCAAGGTCATTGTCTCTCCTTTGATTGCTACATTGGGTTGTTTGGCAGCAGCTGCATCCCTCTGTGCTCTTCTAGTTTTAGATGTTTTCTGTTCATAAAATGAATGGGAAAATAACAACAACCCTCCAGGCCCTTAGCCCAGATGCTCCTGTGTGCTGCTGGGACAGGGAAGGAAGCCCACAGGTCTGCAGTGGGCACCTGTGATAGATGTGCTTTTAGCAGATGCGCGGTCGTGTTAAGTGTATACTGACACTAAAACTAAAAGACTGAGCAAGGGAAGCAACTCTTGCAGTCCCAGGTGAGAAGAGAAAGGTTGCAGTCAACAGTCAACACAAGGATGCCCTGAGCCTGCTCCAAGTCCTGACATCCCCTGAGCCTCTGGGGGTCATGGCTGGTGGGAACACCCAAGGGACTTGTAGCTGTTAATCCAAGAGCACTCTCACAGCCTCGGTCTTTTCTCGCAGAAGACAAGTAGCTGCCCTGGAGGTGCAAGTCAGAGTTACTCTCCATATAGCAGCCCAAAACTAGTCAGGCTTTAGTGCCTGGCTCTACTGAACAGTTCTGGACAACTCCTCTGACCTCTCCACACATCATCTTACTCCTCTTGCACAAAAGGACCTCAGGCTGCAAGGGCCAAGGCTCCAACAGAAAAGAGCCCACGGATTAAGTGTAAAGGAGAAGTGTTACAAGACAGGAAGTCAAAGCTTACAACAATCAGTGCTAGGGCATCTGGTACGCACTCTTGGTAACCATTTTCAAAACAGATGTCTAAATGAAGTGAGAATTCTGCTATCCCAGTTTATTTATAATCAATCTTCTCATTTGCACTGTGCAGCCAGGCAGATAAGTAGCTGCTTCCTTCGGTGCAGTCACACAGCTTAGCTCAGCTGCACCCTCAGACAAGGGCAACCAAAGGTCCCCACATCACCCTAGGGACACATGTGGCAGACAAGTCCCCTCCCTCTGGAATCCCACCATAGGGCATAGGAAACATTCACTCAGCACTCTGTCCTTTGCCCTGTGTGACTCCATGCAAGTGCAGAGGCAAAAGTCTCGTGTGGAGAGAGCAATGCTAAAGTGAAAGAGTGGGGAGCAAATGGACATAGGAAAGGCTAACAAACGTACCAAGCAACTCCTTTTCCATGGAAATATCTATATTTGTTTACAGTAGCCTGTTTGGCACCATGGCAAAGACTCACAACACACAGTTGCTCTAAACGTTCTCAGAAGTGAAGTAAGTATTTCTATTGCTAAAACCAAGTTTTGCCTGCAGAAGACAACCAGAAAGCCAGTCAAGCAGCTCCAGCTAAGCTCCTGCATGTGCTGGCAGAGTGCTGTCCCAAGGATATAAATCTGTTTCTCTGTCATTTTAGGACTGTATAAACAAATATTACGCTTTTGGTCATGTCCTCTCATTTCAAGACAACATTGTCTGAGGAACTGAAGTGTGTGTGACAAGCAAGAGATAAAAGATAACATCCAGGCAGTTGTGAAGAAGCAATTTCTGACATGAAGAACCCTAGAGGTAAACTAAATTGCAAATAAAGATTTTGAAGAATCATTACATTTCTGTCATCAACAGACTTGCTGAATACTGTTATCATGTACCAGCTATTTATTGTATCATGCCAGCTCTACATCCATCTATAGCTGCATACCAAAAATACCTCCATTAGCCTGATGAGAAAACAAATTTGAAGCACAAAGCATGTCCTGCTTTCAGCAAAAGGGGCACTTGCAGTTCAGACTACACTCACAGAAGATTTACAGACAACTTCAAGAAAGAAAAACAAAGATCTCAAAAAGTTCAGATGCACCTTTGCTCTCTAAACATTTAACACCTGGGGATAACACCTTTGGTTTCTCCATTCTTAATCCCTGAGGAGCAGTGATCTCTCAAAACAGCAGAATAGCCTGTTCTTATGTGTGCCCCATTGTTAACTTTGAACATACACCTGCACATATAAAAACAAGAGTATGTAAATGGAGGAGGGAGAAACACAATCCTTGCAGCCAGGGAAACGATACACAGAAATCCCAGGCCTTTTATCACGCATGTAAGAACACAAATA